AGTCCCCATGGTTCATCGGCCGTTATATGAGAGCGATAAAGAAAGTCATAGAAATCAGTGCGATAAATAAGATACGCTTCTTATTTGTGGAAGGGCGAAATGGGCGGTGACTATTAGACGCCTTCATTATAGCCATCTTTCTCTATCGCACGGATTTCTATGACTTACTTTATCGCTCTCACGTAACGGCCGATGAACCATGGGGACTTTCCGACCCTGTAGATACTTGAAATTTTTTTCACATAGAAAAGACCGCTCAACCTTTCAAATGGTTTTTGAAAAATTGAATTTAGTTGATTAGGACGGCCACAGTAATTTAGTAATAATTACAAATATTTAAATAATTTTTGTTTAAACAAATTAAAAAAAATTTTTTATTTGGAAATTAATTTTTTTGTTAAATACAGATAAAATTAAGAACAAATTATAATTTTTGAATAAAACTAAATTGCAAATTGATAAATGTAATCTAATTGTTTAAAAATAAAAAAGAGTGTTAACTTTAAAAATTTTCTGTGACCGCTTTAATCAACCGATTTCAATTTTTCAAAAACCATTTGAAAAGTTGAGCGGTCTTTTCTGTGAAAAAATTTTCCAAGTATATCGATGGTTTATTTGAGGCTTTTTTCAAAAAATTATTTTGCGAAAACTATGGAACCGATTTTAATGAAATTTGGTGTGTTGTTTTATTGTACTATAAAGTTTTTTTACCAAAATTAGAATGCTCTCGGAACAATTAAATTATTTAAAAAAAAATATCCAAAAAACTTTCTTTTGCCTTTTTTTCGTCAATTATTGCTATTTTGCAACAAATTTAAACATTTTTAACTTACAGTGCATTGTACAAAATTCAATTCTAAAACTTTTTTTCCTCTTCAATATTCTTCCAAAATACAAAGGATTCAAGATATAAGTAAAAAATTCAGATAAAATACCCCCTCTCACATCCACCTCAAAAAAGATCCTGTAGTAGCCTGTGTTTTAACGTTAGACTTTTCTTAGCACAGATAGACGTAAAATAATGCATAGATTACACAAATCTTTTTAGTAATATGTTTCTTCATCGTTTTGTCCAAAAAAAACTGAAAAAAGTAAATATTTTTCTTACAAAGTGGCGATTTTTTCAAATTTTAAACAGTAATTGTTAGTAATGAACGAAATTCTAAAGCCTTACAGAGATGTCTCAAAATGTTAAATGCGTTTTTCATGGTAATATTAACGTTTCTGATTTGGAACAAAGTATTTTTTGAAAAATGTTTTCTTTAACAGTAAATTGTTTAATTTTTTTATTAAAATGGTATGATCATTTCTCTAGTCAATAAAAAAATCTATAGGACATTTTTTTGCATTTTAATGATTGTATGTATAATTTAAAACAGTTTGCAATTTTATTTAGACAGCAAACTAAGTTGGCAACACTGTTTCTTGAAATGTCAGTTAGTTGTTAGATTTTTCTTTCAGATAGCGGTCTATAGGACGAAACTGTATTGGAAAATAACTGCCAATATTCATTTTGTTAAATTGCATAATGAATTCAAAACAAAAACTTGAAAATTTAAAAGATACTAAATGTAGTCGAGTCCCATTACTATCTAAGGGACGATGTTGGTCTATTTGTCTCTACCAGAAACTAATAATAATTTATTTGTTTCTTCTGTCTCTATTTATAATAATATATTAAGCATTTTTTTCGTCACTTTTTTATCTTCTATAAAACATCAGCGAAATATTTCTATTACGACGTTTCGTCAAGTGGAACCATCCTCAGTTCGAGTCAAATATAGGACTCTAATATTTTTCTTAGTTTGCAGGACATAATCTTTTTAGTTAGTATCATAGTCAATAATTTTAGAATAAAACTTACTTTTTGTGAAAGATGTAAGAAAAAGCAGTGTTTACAGTGAAAAGATCATTCTATTTCTATTCTGATATTGATCTCGCCGTTTTGTATATAAATTTAATAACAATATCGACCTGTCATTTTTCCAAGAAACAGTAAACTCCCTTTGGGAGTATTTACAGCGTCTATCTATAACAAAGCATATTTATATTAAATGTAACACATAAGATATTTTGTTATACGTGTTTATTTCCATAAAAAAAGTTAGATCAAGCGATATTTTAAATAAACAACTAAGCAAATAACAATTCAAAAAATTCAATTAAACACGTTTTCTATTTGGTTCTTGTCTTTGATGAATATGAATGGCTTTTTAGCAACATAATAGATAAAATTTATATTTAGATAATTGTTAACTGTAAAATGTTTCTTTTAAAATGTATGCCGGTCGGTATCAAACACAGCACTTTATTAATTAAAAAACATTGTAATTCATTTAAATTCAGGAAGCACATCGTAACGCTCGACAACTCTATCGCTAGAACAAAGTTATCATCGCGAACTTATGCTTCGGCATAATAAAATTAATTAATTTCCGACATTTATGAGACTTTTCTTTCCCCGAGTGGGTTAAAAATTGTAATTCGAGTCCGCCCAATGGAAGAAATGGCCATTTTTGTTGTCATTCTAAAAAGTGATACCTCAGTGAAAGGAATTTGCTAGGTAAGCAATGAATATTAATTCGTAAAAACAATTAAAGCGGCGGGAAATGATAATATTTTGAGTTTTGAATGGGGTGTTTAAGTCGACGATAATTAATAATTTTGTTTTAAATAAAAGGCTCTCAATTTTCAGAATCAGGCGCTTTGACTTAAGTTTATTAAGTACTAGTATATAGGGTAAAAAAAGGAAAAAATTTGGAGGGTGATTTTAGTCATAATAATAATGGTACAAACTCAAAAAGGTGTTACATATTTTAATTATTTACACATACAGGGTGTATCTAAATAACACCGAAAAAATGTAATTATAAAATTTTTTGAAAAAACTCTCCCTTGAAAAGTTACGCCCCTCCTAGAATTTCAAGAAAAAATTGTTTTTCTTTTTTATCTTCCATGTATATCAAGCTAAAGAAACCAAACTTGGTGAACATTATCTGTCAAAAAAACTACACTTTTTGAAACTTTTTCAACCCTGAAGTACTTTTGTAAGGGGTTGAAATAATCAACCCCTATGACATTTTTTTTCCTTTAAAAAATTATGTCTAAAAAGCCCCATTCATTTACTAACTTTTTGATCTCTACAAATGTTTTCGAAAAGTTAAAGATTTCTGAAAAAAAATAAATAAATGTATTACAATGCATTTTTAAAAAGATGAGCTGTTTAACACGAAATACTTCAGGGCAGAAAAAATTTCAAAAAGTGTAGTTTTTTTGACAGGTAATGTTCACCAAGTTTGGTTTCTTTAGCTCGATAAAGCATTTTTTTTTAATTTTTGGAGAGGCGTAACTTTTCAGGGGAGTTTTTTCAAAAATTTTTATACCAAAGACCACTATTAATTTTCGTCAGAAAATCGCTCCCTACATTTTTCGGTATTATTTAGATACACCCTGTATATTCAAAGAAATTATTTTGTTAATGTTTTGTCATAGCTTGTTTTGTTTACTACATTTATTGTTGGTCGTAGATTGTACCTAGTTACTAAAACATTTAAGCTCGAAATGAATAGAAAAAAAAAGGTTTCCAGGAAAAACTCATGTCAGATTTTCTTTAACCACATTGTACAAATTTTTGAAATAATCTATTTATCTACAACCTTTTAGAAATTTTTTCGTTATGAGCTACAATTTGCGAAATAATTGCAATTTTCGATATCCCAGCACTAAAACCAAGACATTAGTGTACAAATTAATTAGCAGGCTTTGCATATTGATGACAAATTGTTTCGAATAAGATGCTTTTGCAGTTTCTACTTTAAACCTAGGTTAAAAATTATGAATGAATCTACATACTTTCAACCAACTTGTGTTTGGGTCTAACTGAGGGAAATGTTTTTTAACCCATGTTTTGAACAGAAAAATTACAAAAATACAAAAATGGCTTACTTATCATTTATTTAAAACAATTTGTCATTCAATATACAAAGCCTACTAATTGCACTGTTTGGGATTTTACTGCAGAGATGTCGAAAACTGTAATTATCTCGAAAACGATATCTCCCTATAAAAATTTACAAGATGTTTCATTTGTAGATAAAATACTGTTGTTAATTATACAATGTGATTTAAAAAAACCCTATTTATAATTTCTTATTTATAAAAATGACACCGCTGATTTTTCATTTTATTAGCAATACCACTAAATTATGTCCCTATTCAACTTGCACAACACCTGGAAATTTCAAGTTTTTATTTCAAATCGTTTAGAAATTACGAAAATAAAATCAAACATTACAGAATTTTGCAGAGCTACTAACCAAAATAGTAAGAGATTTTTCATAGTTTTCTATGCTTATTACCATAGTATTTTCTTTTATATTACTATTTTTATTTTATCTTACAAAATTGGTAGATTTAAATTGTTGGGGGTTGCCCCAAATGTTTTTTTTTTTCGGAAAGGGTTAGGTTATCTGCTTTTTTTATTATAAAAATTATAGATTAATTATTGCAAATTGCCGTTGGACCAAGAAAATTTTTTAAAAGGTTGTTTAATGTTCTTTAGGTACCCAATTTTTTAAAAACACTATTGCGACAAATATTATCGTATGAATGAAGGAAATAATTATTTGCCCAAAAATTAACATTACATCTAACTGTTAAAAACACCTCCTTGTCCCTACTCGAGACTTAATTAAAAAAGTGCGTTACAGTGTTAGAGCAGAATAAAAAGCGAAGCAAGAGTATGTGCTAAGTGCATAAAAAAAAACTACCCCCTGCGTATAATAAAACCCATTACTGACGCAGTGTTCCACCGCTAAACAAAGATACATAAATTACATCAAACTAATTCCTTCACTCACGCATCCACAAACGGAAATTACAAACGAATTTCGCGTCCTCTCGACTCAAAAATTGCATTACGCACACCCAGGGGCCCTAGAGCAGTCACTTGAACACCCGACAATTTAACTCTTTACATTTACATCGTGGGAAAAACTTACCGATCGTGATGGAAACTTTAAAACCTGTTGATGGAACCCACCACGAATGATGAATAACACCATTTTCCCCAACCCTTATATATATCTAAATTTTAGCGCCCTCGGTAGCGCGCGTGCGCTCGGCTCGGTGGCTAGATCGCGATGCAAATTCGTTCCTCGGGAAGGGGGTTGGGGGACGCGTTGGATCATTGAGATTATTAATTGTTGTTTTGCGAGCATTTATCTAGCGATGTAGGAGCATGTAAGGATGTACAGGGCGTGATGTGATTAAATGGCGAAAATGGAAGGACGTAATCATGGCCGTCTTTATTAAATCATTGTCTACACATGAGAATATTAACATTTTTATACAGTTACTTTAATGGTGTCAAAAACGGTTGAATATAAATATACAGTCTGTTACAAATTTGCTTCTCACTACAGGGGTCTCGGAAACGGTAAGAGATACGAAGTAGCTTAAGAGGACTAACATTGTGCGTCTAAAAAATCAAGGCTAATATGACTAGTTTTCGAAGTATTTGAAAAAAAACGAAATATTGGAAATCCGTTTTTGGTTCATTTCAGCCTTGTTTGAGGTGATATTGAAAAAAGATGAACACTTTCTCATGGCAACTTTTGCCCTCTATCGAATGGCATAATCAATTTTTAAATGTAACGTTTCTTCTCTCCGGGACTATCATCAACTTCATTTTTTTAAATACGACCCTGCAAATTTTATTACATTTTTTCCTCGTCGCTTCAAAACGTGGATAACGTGGAAGGGCAAATGTGCAAAAATGTTCAAAATTTCACAGAAATCGATGACGAAATCGATTCGATCGAAGAAGTGGAAGTAGAAGCAGAAGTAGAGTGCGAGAATGAGGTGTTAGACAACGCGGAAATTAATAATTATTTTGAGTTTGAGGATGAAGAAGTTGATGAATACCTGTAATATCGAAGAAGAAAACGAAAAGAAAAAAGTTCGATTAAATTCTTAATATATATTTTTTTACATATAAATAAATATAATATAGATTCATAAATTTAAAACAAAAGTGTGTGTACATTTTTTAATTCCTGATTTATTAATGCAATTAATTAAAATTAATTAAAGTATAATTCAAATATTATTTATTGTTTAAAATATAAGCAAATGAGAAATTAACTCATTATATTACTAATTTTCGACATATTTTGAAAATAATTGTTGTTTAAACAATTTTAGAATATTTAATTTATTTAAATTTGTTTTTGATATTTGATAAACAGCATATAAGTTTATGCACTTACTTTTGATACAATAAAAAAATAAAGTTGATAATTAAAGGAAGTTTAAAGATAAATAATTATCGGACTCTTGAAAGACCAATAATTATTATCGATAGGCATTTGAAAATAAGCTAATTGTTTTTTTTTTAAATCGCGAGACATCGATTTAAAAAAAATCATCAAAATTGGACCTCTAGAAATTCGCCGATTCAATTTCGAGCAGGCCGAAGCGGCCGCGCTCTCTGCTTCCCTCACCACCACCACCCGTACGATTTTCTTGAATTTCTCGATTGCATAAATAACTTTAAACACGTTTTAAAGTAGGTTGCCAATGAAGAAAAGTATTGCAAACTTAGACCTGGTAAGTACTCAGAATACCAAAGGCATTTTTCAAAAAATTAACCCGGATGTCCCAGTATATTTAGTGTAAATGACAGTTAACTTTGATCGGTTATAACTACGTAATTAATTGGCCAATCGATCTGATTTTTTTTAAAGAAGCGTATTTCCAAGAACTTTTAAAACCTATTTTAAAAAATTTAATTTAATTTATAAGTACAAAAATTCCACCAATGTTTAAACAAGCGCCAGAGCTCTCCTAATTGATGGATTCAAATTTTTCTAAAGGCGTTTGAAAGCTTGAGAGCCCTTCTATATTTGATTAAGTTTTCGAGTATCTAAGGGCCTTGGTTTTTGCTGTGCAAAATTTTGAAAATTTACAAATTTTTTTTTTAAAATCTGGATTGCAAAATTATTATGCAAAATCTATGGAACCGATTTTGATGACATTTGGTGTAATGATTCTACATAACATAAAGTTTTCCTAAACCAAGTATGAAGGTCATATACCCAATTTAAAGACCCCAAAAAAAATCCCTAAAAAGTAATCTTTTTTAACTCCGTTTTTTGGCGATTTTTACGATTCCATTCAATTTGTAACTAGTCATATTTTGTAAAAAATTTAATTACAAACATTTTTTTCCTCTTCCATTTTCGCCTAAAATCAACTCTTGAAAAGATACTTACATAATTAAATAGGAAGAAAAATATGATATTTTTCGAATTTTTTTAACATATTGTGCCGCCAAAAGTTAAGCCCACGTTTTTTTTATGCGCATAGAAATTTTCATTTCTAGTGATATTTGAAAGCCAAAAAGCCAAAAATCTCCGTGGATATACGATTCACCCAAATATGGACATTTTGAAACAGATACCGTCTGGACTAATACGGTTCGGTTATTCTCTGAACAGACCTGACCATATTAGTAGTGGTGATGACCTAGAAAGGACCCCACCTCAAATTAGAGAGCAGCAAATTAATTATACTTAAAGCTGCTAATCAAGGGAGAAATATGAAATGAAACTATTTAAAATTTGGCCCACCGACCCATAAACACATTTGGACACGTTTAATCCAGTTTTAACCAGCAAAATAAATGTTTCTTATTCTCTCTATTCCTGCAGTCGTAAATTGGTAGCACTGTTATACGTTTACATAAGGATCTCTTCAGTAGTTTCCAATTCAGTATGACTTCACTTCATTTTTTAAATGCTCCCATAAAAAAAGTCGAGAGGGATGAAGTCAGGAGGCTGCGCTGGCCACACTACCGATTCTTCTCATCTAATCCACCGTACTTCTTGAACTTCATTAAGGTAATCCGTAATATACAGGGTGTCCGGGGAAATCTCTCGGGTGCAGATAGAACATGATGTAAGGACCTTTTAAAATAGTGTCCTTAAAGCATATTTAGCTTTTTTAGTTTACCAGGGACGGGCTAAGTTTTACAACTTAATGCGTCTAACCAAACCGTTGGATAGGTAGAGGAAGACCTATTGCCTGGCCTCCTCGATTTCCCGACCTAACGCCTCTGGATTTTTACCTGTAGGGACACCTCAAACAATTGGTGTATTCCACTCCGGTCGACACTAGGGAGGATGATTGTGATGTGGTAAGGAACAATGCTGGGTTATTGTGGCGGGTACAGCAGTCCTCAAGTCTGAAGTCGTCGTGTCCGAGGATGTATCAGACTTCACGTAGCCCATATTGAACCCTCTTATGAAGTTTTTCAATAATTTCGTTCCTGTTGTTTGGATGACTTTAGTATCGCACTTTGTTGTCGAGAAAAAAATAGAAATCATAGCCCTTTTTTTTAAAAATAAAACATGAATTCGTTTATTATTCTTTTTCTTGTAAACCGTTCATTTTATCGACAATAAACAAGAGTACCCTTTTTTAGTCTAAGGTTGAAGCTACCCAGATTTATTATTTTAAAGTCTTTATCATACAGGGTGTTAAAAATGTACGCATTAAGTTGTAAGGGTCTGTACGAAAAACTTTATAGGAACTTGTTATCTTATTTTTTCATATTCTATTTGCACCCGAGAGATTCCTCACATTTTCCAAGACACCCTGTATGCGTATACAAGGAATTGTCGATTTTTTAAGCGAAAATTTTAATTTCTAACCTACCACAACTCATTTTAAAAAATGACCTTGTACCTTCTAAATTTCACTTTCTTGGAACACACTATATGTCTATTTTTCTTTACGTCAGTCACTACAAAGCGATTACTATTCAGAACTTTCCACCGAAATCGCTGAAACTATCTCCCTTACTGTTTCTTTAGACAGACGGTGCCAAAGAAAACAAAGAAGCGAGTCAGTAGTAAGTTATGAATGGTACGTAATAGGCAGGTATGTGCTAGAGCTGAAACCTTTGCCGAATACGGAGTATTCAAACTCTGACAACGCCAACTAAGTTCTAGGGGCATTATTAAACTTTCCTCGGCCGAATCTGATGTGTGAGGTACAGAGAATTGTTTTATTGCGAGATTAGACTATTAAACTTTAAGCACCCCAGGAATTATCTACGTGTAAATAATGCATGCGGATCTTAATTAGATGCTCGCGAGATAACAATCATATCTAATTCGTCCTTTGTAATCTTCGTTTTACAATTTTCAATCTATTTTATTATTATGATTATCTCAAAAAGGACAAATGGTCTTTTTGCATGAGTATAGTCACAGCACAGTAGTTAGTATATTTTTACAATAAAAAATTATTATTATAACAAAGAAAAATACAAAATAAAAAAATACAAGGGACAACAATTTTACCAAAGCTAGGGGTGCACAGAAACATGGTAATCCCTTCTAGATTTCAAAATATTGATTTCCTGTTAATAGTCATTTATAAATATCAGGGAGAAATGTGGACCAAGATTAGAACATTGTGGTACTCCAGAGAGTGCTAAAAACCATTGCACCCTTATATTTTACTTCAAAACACCGATTAGACAAATAAGAAATAAAACATTTCAATTCTGGTTTGATCAACCCATATTTAGCTCTTGCATCGTAAAATGTTGTGATAAGAATGCTTTTTTGTAGGTTTTATTAATTGTTAATTGTAAATTGTATTAATTTTTTAATCATAATCGTTAAACTGACGTGGAAATACTTTGCGAAAAAAAATTGATAGCTTAAAATCAGGTGAGCATAGTGGCCATTCTAACGCCTGTCAATTTATCGTGACTTTTCAAGCGGGTAAACTTTTGCGCTCATTCCCAGTGAGAATATATGTATATATAAAAATTTACAGCTCAATTCTATACAACTAAAGATTAAGCTATCAATAAACTATACTTTAATGATCACTGGGTTGTATCGAAATTAACCAATAGCAAAGGAAATACATGTTTTCTCTCATTTTGTATACATGTGCGTATATGAGCAAACAAAACTATAATTAACTTTCTCATAGTCCTGAGGGACGTACCTACATTG